GACCCTGGACCCTCGACCCTAAACCCTAAACCCTAAACCTTAAACCCTAAACCCCAAACCCTAAACCCTAAACCCTAAACCCCGGTCCTCTATTTTCGGAAGCCCCCAGAAGACAGCGGGCCCCCTTAGAGAGAACGAGGGCGGCGCCCGCTGCTGCTCATGGGGATGCCGTGGCCCCAACAGGGTTTAGGGTTTTAGGGTTTAGGGTTTAGGGTTTAGGGTTTAGGGTTTTAGGGTTTCAGGGTTTTAGGGGTTTAGGGTTTAGGGTTTAGGGTTTAGTAGTTTAGTGGTTTAGTGGTTTAGTAGTGGTTTAGTGGTTTAGTGGTTTAGTGGTTTAGTGGTTTAGTGGTTTAGTGGTTTAGTGGTTTAGGGCTTTCAGAGGTTTCGGGGTTTTAGTGTTTAGGGTATAGAGGTGGGCTTAGGGCGTTTGGGGGTTTAGTGGCTGTGTGGTATAGGTTTTAGGGGTTTAGGGGTTTAGGGGTTTAGGGGTTTAGGGGTTTAGGGGTTTAGGGGTTTAGGGGTTTAAGGGTTTAGGGGTTTAGGGGTTTAGGGGTTTAGGGGTTTAGGGGTCTCGGGGTCTAGGGGTCTACGGGTCTAGGGGTCTAGGGGTTTAGTGGCTTAGTGGTGTAGGGGTTGAGGGGTTTAGTGGTTGAGTGTTGTAGTGGTGTAGGGGTTTAGTGGAGGGGGGCGTTTAGGGTTTAGTGGCTTAGTGGCTTAGGGGGTTTGAGGGATGTAGGGCTGTGTGTGGTTTGTGGGGGAGGGCTCAGTTCCGACCACAAGAGTCCTACATTGGTTAAACCCTAAACCCTAATAGCCCGAAACCCTAAGCTGGGTAGATTCAAAATTGGTCGTGCCGAGGCCGCCCCGAGCTGAGCAGCCTCCCCACATCTCTGGGTGCAGTCATCCGTCTCAAACTCAGTTGTGGAGGGTTAGGGGTTTGGGGTTTGGGGTTTGGGGTTTCGGTTTAGGGTTTAGGGCTTTGGGCATCTCGGTCCTTGGCGAGCTTGTGGATGGATGGTTGACACGGGGTTTGCAGGGAGACTCCTACACCCCAAACCCTAAACCCTAAACCCTAAACCCTAAACCCTAAACCCTAAACCCTAAACCCTACACCCTAAACACTAAACCCTAACCCTAAACCCTAAACCCTAAACCCTAAACCCTAAACCCTAAACCCTAAACCCTAAACCCTAAACCCTAAACCCTAAACCCTAAACCTTAAACCCTAAACCCGAAGCCCGAAGCCCTAAGCCCAAAACAACCCCTAACCCTCCAGTTTCTCAAGCCGGAGCATGCCCCGAGGCCATGCGCCCTTTCTCTTGGTGTACAGAGCCCCCCCCAAAACACCCTAAGCCCTGAACCCTAAACCCTAAACCCTAAACCCTAAACCCTAAACCCTAAACCCTAAACCCTAAACCCTAAACCCTAAACCCTAAACGGCTTTCTCTGGCTGGCTCTTAGGACTTTAACCTGTTGGGTTGTTGTAGAAACTACAAAAAGGAGCCTAAAGGACAAACTTGTAGAAAAAAATTCAGAAACCCAAGAAGAATCCGGTTTGATCAGCATAAGTCTTCAAAAAGGGATTGTAATAGGGGGTACTAGAATCCCTACTAAGGACTGTTCGTAGAAGGGGGGAGCATCCCACAGTGTCAGGTTGCTAGGGTTTTAGGGCTCAGGGTTGCTGGGCTTTAGAACACAAGGCCAAAAGCAGCCCACTCCTGACACGCAAGGTCGGACGAGTCAATGCACCATGCGGCTCGGTCGAGAAAAAGCGCTGCCCCTGTCTCTTCGGCCGACTAAGAAGGCAATCTTAGAAAGCAGGAAGGTGCGAGTCAAAAATACCAGAAGAATCCTGTTCAGACCGATGCCCAGAAACAAAGGGTATTTGGCAGAGGATGGGCTCGACCATGTGCATGCATGAACCCTAAACCCTAAACCATAAACCCTCAACCCCCAAACCCCAGCAAGTCGACGCGCATTGAAATCTCCGGTTCTTGTAGAGTCGAAGCATCCGCGGACTCTTGGGTCCTATCATTGGGAAGCAGGGGAAAACCGGCAATGAAAACCTCTACCTTGCAGGGGGCTGCATGAGGGTTAGTTACTTCGTCAGTAGGTTAGCTTAGTTTGCTTAGCTAGTTAGTTAGGCAGTGAGTTCGTCAGTTAGTCAGTTATTTATTTATTTATGCATTTTATTTATTTATTTATTTATTTATTTATTTATTTATTAATTTGGAGTGTTAGTTAGTTCGTCAGTTAGTTGATTTTTGATTTTTGCAACAATTCTTGCGACGCTGCTTCGTGTTGGCACGCGCACCGGTGTGCCTGCCACAGGTTACGGGACTTTTTCGTTCTTGGACATTTGCGTAGGTGCCAGCGCAAGCAGCGACCAGCCCGAGCGAAAGCCTGAGACCCCCCTTTTTGGCTGAAGTCTGGGCTCCGACGTGCACTTCCCGAAGCCATGCAGCTCAAGCTGTCAGCGGCTGCAGCGATTATGTCATTTTCATGTCCGTGAACTTCACACGTCCTCGATGCCTCAGCCTCGGGTCTTTCGGGCGCTTTTGTGGTAGATGGAGGCGCTAGCAGCCGAAGCTTCGAGTGTGCTTCTTACCTTAGGGTTCAGGGTTTAGGGTTTAGGGTTTAGGGTCTAGGGTTTAGGGTTTAGGGTTTAGGGTTTAGGGTTCGGGATTGTAGCGGTATCGTCGAGGGGCCCAAAAGTCGGCCGTCCTGCTCCAATGACTTGTCCGCCTTAGCCTGCTCTACAGCTGCTAATGCTCCCGGTCAGCTCACCTTTCAAGGAAACTCCCTCCCCAACCCCTACCCCGCCCCTCCCACACAAAAATAAGGCTCTGCACTGCAACTCGTTTGCCCCCGGCGCAGATCTCTTGCTGAGGATTACAGTGCTGCTCGCAGCCACTACTCTATGTATCGCGCGCGCTGCTGTTACTGGGCACCAGCAGGCCTGTCTCGCCAAAAGGGGCGTTTAGGGTTTAGGGTTTAGGGCTTAGGGTTTAGGGTTTAGGGTTTAGGGTGTGCTAGGGCGAGTTTCGACTGTGTGGCTGGTCAGACCTGCACATGCCGGGTCCGAGCTTAAGGCTTAAGGGTGTTCCTCTTTGTTGACGTTTAGACCCATCACCAACTTTGGCACTCTTGGACCCTAAACCCTGAACCCTAAACCCTAAACCCTAAACCCTAAAGCCTAAACCCTAAACCCTAAACCCTAAACCCTAAACCCTAAACCCTAAACCCTAAACCCTAAACCCTACTCAGCGACAGGCAACGCTGCAGGCGAGCATTGATGCCCACGGGAACCTGCAGAAGGAGACACGCGTGGTCTTGCGACATTTCAAGCTGTTCCAAGCCTCGTAGCTGCTCTATGCTAGTTTATAGGGCAGGGTTGAGCTAAGGGCTTTTTAAGGGGAAGTTAAGGATTGTTAAGGGGGCGTTTTAGGGGGCTTGTAAGGGGGCCTTGACGGTTTTTAAGAGGGCCTCTTAGGGGCTTTTGAGGGTTTTAGGTTTAGGGTTTAGGGTATAGGGTGGGTTTTAGGGTTTCGGGTCAAAGAGTGCTTGCCAGGACAGCTCTCGGTTGATGCGGCGTCAGGCGCTCGCACGGGGGGTTCAAGAAGGCTACTTGGGTCCATGAGTTCTTGCAAGTAGGGTTATAAGTCCGCTACATGCAGTCAGAACCATACTTGCCTTACTCAAAACCCTAAACCCTAAACCCTCAACCCTCAACCCTCAACCCTAAACCCTAAACCCTACTTCTTGCGTCTAGGCTTCCCAACCTCAACCTTAGAAGGCCCCCGAGATTCGAGGAGCCCGGAGCCCTAAGACGCTTTCTTTTGCTGCTTCGGCCTTTGTTTCACAAGGAAGCCGAGAGCTGCGAGATCTCTCAGACCCCCCCCCCCAAACCCTAAACCCTAAACCCTAAACCCTAAACCCTAAACCCTAAACCCTAAACCCTAAACCCTAAACCCTAAACCCTAAACCCTAAACCCTAAACCCTAAACCCTAGACCCTAGACCCTAGACCCTAGACCCTAGACCCTAGACCCTAGACCCTAAACCCTAAACCCTGAAGCCTGAACCCTGAACCCTGAACCCTAAACCTTTGACCCTTAACCCTAAACCCTAAACCCTAACCCCAACAAAAAGTCCGAAACCGCCTGAAGCCTAATCCCGGGGAGGCGAACGACAACCTCTTAGAAGATGCTAGCCAAGGGCGGGGAGATCTGGAGAGCCGCAGCACCTTGGTTTGAAATTCATTTAGGGGGTTGAGGGCTTTAGGGTCCCCTAAACCCTAAACCCTAAACCCTAAACCCTAAACCCTAAACCCTAAACCCTAAACCCTAAACCCTAAACCCTAAACCCTAAACCCTAAACCCTAAACCCTAAACCCTAAACCCTAAACCCTAAACCCTTAAGGGGGTAGATCAGGGGTCCCCTTTTTTAAGGGCCCATGCCAAGGGGCCATGCAACTGCCCTAAGATGGACTGTCAAGGGTTCAGGGTTCAGGGTTCAGGGTTTAGGGTTTAGGGTTTAGGGTTTAGGGTTTAGGGTTTAGGGTTTGGGGGTTACAAGAGTAGAGGCCGCGAGACGCATTCCGCAGCCCCTCCTTTCCCAAGGATTTTGAAATGCGTGGGAGGTGGCCGAACTGGGATCCTCCGCCGATGCATGCCTTTCATAAATAGCAGTCCTTCTAGGAGGGAAGTCAAAAGGGACGCTGATTTTGAACGATGCCCGCCTCACTCGCCGGCCTCGCCGGGCTAAACCCTAAACCCTAAACCCTAAACCCTAAACCCTAAACCCTAAACCCTAAACCCTAAACCCTAAACCCTAAACCCTAAACCCTAAACCCTAAACCCTAAACCCTAAACCCTAAACCCTCAACCCTAAACCCTGAACCCTGAACCCCAAACCCTAAACCCTAAACCCTAAACCCTAAACCCTAAACCCTAAACCCAGATTCCCACAAACTAAGGTGACGAGGAAGAGGATGACTCCATGGAGGACCGATCTCCCCCTCGCCATGCCCTCTCCGTGCGGTTTAGGGTTTAGGGTTTAGGGTTTCGGGGTTTAGGGTTTAGGGTTTAGGGTTTTGGGTTTAGGGTTTAGGATTTAGGGTTTGGGAGCTTCTTTCTGATGTCGCCTCGCTTGCCGCTTGAGCTTCCTAGGATCGTGGGCCTCTTGGTTTGGGGCGGGGGGGGGGGGGGGGGGGGGGGGGGGGGGGAGGAGGAGCCGGGTCGGAATAGCTACGAAGAGTATTCCCTGAGGGTCCCTATATGGCTATACCATTAATCACCCCCAAAACCCTGTTCTAAGTATTGAGGCCCCTACAGTACTCAGAAGGCTCCCGCCATAGAGCTCCCAAACGCTGACCTCAAAAGCCGTGCTGCATTTAGGGTTTAGGGCTTAGGGCTTAGGGTTTAGGGTTTAGGGTTTAGGGTTTAGGGTTCAGGGTTCAGGGTTCAGGGTTCAGGGTTTGGGTCTGGGGTCTGAGGCTTAGGGTTTGGTCTAAGGTTCAGTAGTTTAGGTCGATGGCCAAGAAACCCTGAACCATAGACCCTGAACCCACGCGTGTACACTGATACTAACCCCCATACCCTAAACCCTCATCCCTAAACCCAAAACCCTAAACCCTCAACCCGACATCCCCACTCAACCCTCAACCCTCAACCCTCAACCCTCAACCCTCAACCCTCAACCCTCAACCCTCAACCCTCAACCCTAAAGCCTAAACCCTCAACCCTCAACCCTCAACTCTAAAACCTAAACCCTCAACCTTCAATCCTCAACCCGAAACCCTCCCTAAACCCTAAACCCTTAACCCCTACACCCTAAACCCTAAACCCTCATCCCTCCCTAAACCCTCAACCCAAAGGATGCCCTTGGGGACGTCAGCAGCGAAGATCTGGAACTGGAAACCAGCGATTTCAATGCCACGTATCCCTTCTACCGGTGGCAGGGCCCAAGATTCGCAGCATGTTTAGGGTTGAGGGTTTAGGGTTTAGGGTTTAGGGTTTAGGGTTTGGGGTTTAGGGTGTAGGGTTTGGGGTTTTAGGGTGTATTTTGGGGTTTTAGGGTTTGGGTCTGGGGTGTTGGCGATTGGGGATTGTGAGTTGGATTGTCGCGCGCTAAGGAAGAGCTGATAGACTCAACTAGCCTGGACCATGCCAGATGAGCGCAATATTCATGAGCTGCTAAACCCTAAACCCTAAACCCTAAACCCTAAACCCTAAACCCTAAACCCTAAACCCTAGACCCTAGACCCTAGACCCTAGACCCTAAACCACTACGATGATTCGGCCTTGTAAGGTTCACGCTCGAAGCCACGCGTGAGAAGGGCTACGTCGGGGACATCGCTGAGCACGGGCCTCAAGACCGTCACAGGTAGGCCTTTGGGGAGGGTTTAGGGTTTAGGGTTTAGGGTTTAGGGTTGAGGGTTTAGGGTTTAGGGTTTAGGGTTTGATCTTCTAGGGGTGTAGGTGCAGTCTAAGAATAAGTCAACGTACCCCAAACCCCTACCCGTCAACCCATAAAAGGAGAATATAAGGAAGGCTTGACCCCGAACCCCAAACCCCAAACCCCAAACCCCAAACCCCAAACCCCAAACCCCAAACCCCAAACCCCAAACCCTAAACCCCTAGTTTCTTTTCAGGGGTATGGCCAAGGGGTATGTCGAGTATTTCTTCGGTGCACGTCCTGCCTCAGAGGTTTGCACTCTTCGACCCGAAGCACCAACGGCTCGACTTAACTCCTGGAGGAGCACAAGAGCCCGTTTAGGGTTTAGGTGTTTAGGGTTTAGGGTTAGGGTTTAGGGTTGGGGGTTTCGAGTTTAGGGTTTAGGGTTTAGGGTTCAGGGTTCAGGGTTCAGGGTTTAGGGTTGAGGGTTTAGGGTTTAGGGTTTAGGGTTTAGGGCTAGTGTTTAGGGATTAGGGTTTAGGGTTGCTATGCGGTGCCTCTACTCACAGCACCTACAGCAGTTCTTCTCATGATCATGCTCTGCCGAAGCAGGCTTGATGGTGGGCAATTAGAACATGGTTTTTACAAAACCTGCTTAGTCCACCTGCCTACTCGGCTTCAGTGTTCTTTTTAATATACGTGGAGCGATGCAGATTTGGCTTTCGTGATGTCAGGACCCGTCGTTCTGACAGCCACGCTGACAGACGCCACTGGGCTTCCAGTTGCCCCTGTGGGGCTTGTGCGAGCCACCAAATGCCCAGACTTCACGACAGTAACAGAGTGAGCTTGCACATCAGCTTCAGTGTAAAGCTACCTCCGCCAATGCCATCCTGCAAGGACATGAACCAAACCATCAGTGGCACATGGGACCCCAAGTATGCTCTGGATGGGGACCTGCAAACCAAGCTCGCGCTACACGTGGGCTATTCGCCCCTTGTCTATGAACATGCCAGGTGTAGCAGTGACATGGCCGTGGATCGGGGGCCGTAAAGGCGACATTCTGGTAGATTATTTCCATGTTCAGGTGCGGTACCGGGTGACAGGGAGGGTGAGCAGAGCAGAACAGGCAATCTTGTAGATGCTTAACAACCTCACTTCTTGGATTCGGCCTTTCGGAGACATAGAGGGTTTGGGGTTTCGCGCGTCGGCCCAAGAAAAACAAAAGCCTAGGCTGGTTGAGGGGCCTTCGCGCTTCTTTAGAATCGCATCCCAGAGTAGAAATGAACCCAATGAACCCACTGAATCCAAAACGCTGCAGGGTTCCGGGACAACTTAGAACAGCGCCCACATACTCTACTCAGAGAAATGTCAAGAGGTTTTTTGTAGCACTATACCCAAAGCCTTTACTTGCTAGGTCTATACAATCCCTGAAAAAAGGGGTTGCAGAGGGGGATGCGCAGTACCTACCTCTGAACCCGAAACCCTAAGCCCTAAGCCCTAAGCCCTAAATCCTAAACCCTAAACCCCAAACCCTAAACCCAAAAACCATCTGCCAGACGAGGCTAGAGCTCAACGTGCAATACGGAGCCGCCAGCTTGAAATAAGTCTTCGGACCCTAAATCCCCTAAACCCTAAACCTTAAACCCTAAACCAAAAACCCTAAACCCTAAACCGGTTTAGGGTTTAGGGTTTAAGGTTTAGGGTTTAGGGTTTAGGGTTTAGGGCTTAGGGGTCTTTTGTTTGTCGGGGACCCGGCGATGAGTGATTCTCAGCAGGCGGTAAGTGTAGCTCCGCTCTTGACTTGAGAGGGTAGCTTGGGGCTTGTCGTTGTGGGAAGCGGGGGGAGTTTAGGGTTTAGGGTTTAGGGTTTAGGGTTCAAGGTTTAGGGTTTAGGGTTTAGGGTTGAGGGCATAGGGTTTAGGGTTTAGGGGCTGCTGATGGTCACCCCAGACCCTAAACTCTCCCTAGACCCTAACCGAAACACAGTTTGTCTGAACCTTGAGCGAGCAAGCCGACAGTCCCATGCGTAGGTTGTTTTTTTTCTTTCGCTGTTTAGGGTTTTAGGGTTTAGGGTGTAGGGTTTAGGGTTTAAGGTTTAGGGTTTAGGGTTTAGGGCTAGTGCACACCCCGACTTGACCACACTGCAGATGCTTAGGGTTTACGGTTTAGGGTTGTGAGGGCCTGTGGAGATCCGAGAGCGCTTGGATCTTGTCAGGTTGTCGTCGGCAGCGCGGGCTTCGTGACCTCGAACGATACACCGGATGCTTGACCTTAAACCCTAAACCCTAAACCCTAAAACCTAAACCCCAAACCCCAAACCCTAAACCCTAGACCCTAAGTCCTAAGCCTTACCATCTAGAAAAAATGCGCTTTGGAGCGCGCGGGTGTTGCGTGATTGCGGCTCTGTCTAAGCACCTTCCTGCCATGCAGTAGTTGCCGGGGCTGTGCTCAGATAATGATGAAGCCTTTGAGAGACCCGCCCTGGGCCCCCAAGTTCTTCAAGAGGGTTTAGGGTTTAGGGTTTAGGGTTTAGGGTTTAGGGTTTAGGGTTTAGGGGAGCCTGAAAGGAACGCGATCCGGCATCCTTCGTGGTCTCTGGCAAGGCATATGCAGGTCCATGGCAGCTCGGCAAAGATGTATGGACCAGGAGAGGCCTAAGTTTTGAGGGTGTAGGGTTTAGGGTTTGGGGTTTAGGGTTCAGGGCTTAGGGCTTAGGGTTTAGGGTTTAGGGTTTAGGGTGCTGCAATGTGCAACGTGTGTCCTGCAAAGAGAGTTCTGCCTCAGGAACGTTCTTGTGAAGCATGTGGGCTTCGAAGCTCCACAAGACCGTGGTGTGATGGTTGGACCTTTCGTCTGCAGCTCCATGCATGGTCGCCAGAGTGATCCGGCGATTGATGGGCTGCCCAGCTGGAGGAAGGTTGATGGATGGGCCGAAACCACCTCCACCACCGAGGCCCCGACGACGACAGAGCCGCCAGAAACCACTTCGACACTGGCGCAGACAACCCCGAGGCCCAAACCCGAGACAGCAAAGCCTACAACCCCCACGCCCACGACCAAGGCGCCAGTCCCAACTACCACCAAAAGCACCACGCCTGAGACAACAGTAACGAAGGCCACCACGACACCAAAACGTACGACAGCAACAGCCTCGACGACGACCACTGCGTCAACCACCCAAGCCACGACTACCACAACGACGGAGCCGCCTAGCACGACGACGCCGACCACAAAGACAAGCACCTCAACAACCACCACCATCACCACCACCACGGTGACCACCACGCTCCTTACGCCTGAGCTGGTTGGAAGCCAGGCGGCTTCGGAGGCCAGAGCTGCGGGCCAGTCCGTGGATGAGCAGGCAGCGGCTGCAGCGAAGGCAGCCGTGGACTTGGCCCAGCAAAGGCAACTTGGTAGCCCAGTGGTACACTTTTTCCGTTTTTTGGGGTTCAAGGTTCCCTTATAAAGTAACCAACCCCCCAAAAAGGGTGCCTTCTAATATGGTTACTGGGCTACTAAGGCAATACACACTGCAGCAGCAGCTGGAGGTCGCCGGAGCCGTGGCTGCGGCTGCCGTGGCCGCAAGTGGTGGCAGCCTAGAGGAGCAGGCCTCGGCAGCGGGCGTCGAGAGTGCCAAGGTTGGGGGCAGCGATGGTCAGACCCTGGAGCAGCAGGCCTCCTTTGCAGGGCAGGCGGCGGCAGAAGTGGTCCAGAAGTCCGGCGGACCGGCGGAGGCGCAAGCGGCTGCTGCAGGGCAGGCGGCTGCAGCAGTGGCCCGAAGCTACAATGAAGGCACCGAGCAGCAAGCCTCACTGGCTGGCCAAGCAGCGGCAGATGCAGGCAGGTTGGCCGGCATGAGCTCGGAGGAGCAGGCTGCCGCAGCTGGCAGAGCGTCGGCCATGGCAGCAAAAGTGGAGGGCGCATCTCCCGTAGACGTTGGGCTGGATGCTGGCGAGGTTGCGGCAAGGGAAGCCGCAGAGGCCGGAGAGAGCATAGACGAGCAAGTCCGAGCGGCGTCAACAGCGGCCGCGTCGGCTGCCAAGTTGGCAGACGGAACTGCCTACGAGCAAGCCGCCAGCGCAGGCCAGGCAGCCGCAGAGGCGGCCAAGACGCAGATCCCGGAGCAGCAAGCAGCAGCTGCTGGCAAGGCTGCGGCTGAGGCAGCCAAGGGTGCCGGATTGTCTGGAGCCGAGCAGGCGAAGTTGGCAGGAGAATCGGCCTTCAAAGCGTCGGCTCTAGCCGGGCTTAAGTTGGAGAAGCAGATCTCGGCAGCTGGAGCAGCAGCAGAGGAGGCCGCCAAGGCTGCCGGCATGTCACCTGAGGAACAAGCAGCAGCCAAGAGTGCTGCGAAAGCTGCGGCGAGTCCTACGGGGGCAACGCCGACGGAGACCAGCGCGCCATCGCCAAAAAAGGTGCCGAAGCCATCCAAGGAATCCAAGGCCAGTGAACGAGATCCCTTGGATGTCGGCCAGGAGGCAGCCGAGCAGGCGAAGGCTTCTGGCAAAGCCCTGCAGGAGCAGGCAGCCAGAGCCGGGGAGGCTGCTGCAAGTGCAGCCAAAGACCAGCAGTACACTCCCACTGAGCAGGTAGAAATTGCCGGCAAGGCGGCAGCAGCAGCTGCGAAAGCGGCAGGAGCACCCTTGTCGAAGCAAACTGAAGCTGCTGGTGCTGCGGCTGCAAAAGTTGCTGCAGATGATGGACAGACCCTGGAACAGCAGGCAGAGGCCGCCGGGCAAGCCGGTGCAACAGCGGCCAAGGACAGCGGAGCTTCGGCATCAGGCCAGGCGGCAGCTGCTGGACAGGCCGCCGCGGCCGTGGCGCGCCTGAACAACGAGGGATCCGACAAGCAGGCCGAGCTGGCGGGCGACGCAGCCGCAGACGTGGCGCAGACCCTCGGACTGTCCCCGGAGGAACAGACGGCTGCGGCTGGAAATGCGTCTGCCAGAGCCCTCAAAGCAGAGGGCGCAACTCCCACCGATGTTGGGCTGGATGCTGGCGAGGTTGCGGCAAAAGAAGCCGCAGAGGCCGGAGAGAGCATGGACGAGCAAGTCCGCGCAGCGTCGACGGCAGCGGCATCGGCTGCCAAGTTGGCAGGCGGATCTGCATACGAGCAAGCCGCCAGCGCAGGCCAGGCAGCCGCAGAGGCGTCCAAGACACAGATCCCGGAGCAGCAAGCAGCAGCTGCTGGCAAGGCCGCGGCTGAGGCAGCCAAGGGTGCAGGATTGTCTGGAGCCGAGCAGGCGAAGTTGGCAGGAGAATCGGCCTTCAAAGCATCGGCTCTGGCTGGGCTTAGGATAGAGCGGCAGATTTCGGCAGCTGGAGCAGCAGCAGAGGAGGCCGCCAAGGCTGCCGGCATGTCACCTGAGGAACAAGCAGCAGCCAAGGAGGCTGCACTTGTTGCAGCCAACCCCACCACGCCAACGACCACATCACGCACAACGGCGATGTCCACCACAAGGCTGACCACAGAGAGCACGACGACGGTGTCAAGGATTACGCCTGAAGATGCTGGCAAGGAAGCAGCGGCGGAAGCGAGCGCCTTGGGGAAGTCCATGAAAGAGCAGGCAGTTGCAGCTGCCGGCGCCGCGGTGGATGCTGCCAGTGATCTGCAGTACACCCCCCGAGAGCAGGGTGAGGCGGCGGCCCAAGCCGCAGCAGCAGTGGCCAAAGCCAACCGGGCCACCGTTGCCCAACAAGCCGCCCTGGCCGGAGCAGCCACGGCCCGGGTTGCAAGCGATCAGGGCCAGACGGTCGAGCAGCAAGCTACGGATGCAGGGCAAGCCGCAGCAGAAATCGCCAAAGTTGCTGGTGCCGAGCCTTACGAGCAGGCTGCAGCAGCCGGCCAAGCAGCGGCAGCGGCAGCACAGGCCCAGAGTGAGGGGTCCGAGAAGCAGTCGGAGCTTGCCGGCGAGGCAGCGGCCGAGGCAGCCAAGAATGCGAACATGCCTCTTAGGGATACCTTGAAATATTTTTTGTCTTTTTGGGCACTATATAATTCCTAAGAAACAAGCGTGTTTTTTGGGTACTAGTATTACCTAAGAAGCAGCCAAAAAACTATCACCTTTTGCTCGGGTTCCGAGTTCAGTATAAGGTCTGCGGAGGCCCAGGCTGAAGCTGCGGGGAACGCCTCGGCCATGGCCGCCAAGGCCAACGGTGCCACCCCCGTGGAGGTGGGCGTCGATGCTGGCGAGGCGGCATTTTATAGGGGTTTTAGGGCTTAGGGTTTAGGGTTTAGGGTTTAGGCTTTAGGGTTTAGGGTTTAGGGTTTAAGGCTTAGGGTTTAGGGTTTAGGGTTATAGGGAAGTGGGCTCAGGGATCGGGAGATGTGGGGGAGGACGCAGGCAGACATGTGGTCAGAGGATTTCGGGTTTAGGGTTTAGGGTTTAGGGTTTGGGGTTTAGGGTTTGGGGTTTAGGGTTTGGGGTTTAGGGTTTAGGGTTTTGCGGGTTGGGAGCTTGTTTCGGTTTCGAGCAGTTTGGGGTGTAGGGCGCAAGGCTCAGTTTGGGGGTAGGGTTTGAGTTACATTGGGGTTAAGGTTATCTTCCCCATCCTCTCTGTTGTGGGAGGCGGGTGGTGCGATGGGGATTCGAGGGCAGCCACTTCAGCTGGCCTTGAAATAGCCCCAAGGGTCCCTAAACCCTAAACCCTAACCCCTAACCTCTAACCCCTAAACCCTAAACCCTAAACCCTAAACCCTAAACCCTAAACCCTAGACCCTAGACCCTAAACCCTAAAGCCTAAACCCTAGACCCTAGACCCTTATAAACCCTAAACCCTAAACCCCAAACCCTAAACCCGAAACCCTCCTTTTCCAGGTCGCCGCCAAGGAGGCCAAGGAGGCGGAGGAGACCCCTGTCGAGCAGATCGAGGCCGCGGCCGAGGCGGCGGCAGATGCCGCCAAGGCCACCGGCGCCGGTGCCGTCGAGCAGGCGGCCAGCGCGGGGCAGGCGGCCGCCAAGACGGCCCAGGAGGCCAGCCAGGCCCCCCAGCAGCAGAGGAGGTTTTCAAAAACCTCTTCTTCTAGTGGTTGTTAAAAAAGGAGATGTCTTTTTAGAAAAAAGACTTTTTTTAGACCTTTTCTGCTACGGTAAGAACCTCTCCAGGTCCCCCAGCAGCAGGCCGCTGCGGCGGGCAAGGCCGCCGCGGAGGTGGCCAAGGACGCCGGCTTAGGGTTTAGGGTTTAGGGTTTAGGGTTTAGGGTTTAGGGTTTAGGGTTTAGGGTTTAGGCTTTATATAGGGTTTTGGGTTTGGGGTTTGGGGTTTAGGGGCCAAGGACGCAGGCCTGAGCCTCGACGAGCAGGCCTTGGTCGGAGGCACCGCCGCGTTGAACGCCTCCATCGCAGCGGGCCTGGACTACAAGGACCCCTGCTTGAGTGCCGGGTTCGGAGCAGTAACCCTAAACCCTAAACCCTAAACCCTAAACCCTAAACCCTAAACCCTAAACCCTAAACCCTAAACCCTAAACCCTAAACCCTAAACCCTAAACCGTAAACCCTAAACCCTAAACCCTAACCCCGAAACCCTAAACCCCAAACCCCAAACCCTAAACCCTAAACTCTAAACCCAAGCCCTACACCCTACACCCTACACCCTAAACCCTAAACCCGAAACCCTAAACCCTAATCCCTAAACTTTAAACCCTAAACCCTAAACCCCGAACCCGAAAGGCCCGAAGGCTGACTCCGAAATTGCGAGGACCAGCTGGAAGCAGCTGGCACCGCAGCGGCGGCAGCTGCCGAGGCAGCAGGGGCCAACGAGGAGAAGCAGTCGGACCTCAAGGTGGAGGTCATCGCTGAGGCGGAGCTCGCGGCCATTAGGGTTTGGAGTTTAGGGTTTAGGGTTCAGGGTTTAGGGCTTAGGGTTTAGGGTTTAGGGTTTAGGGTTTGACTTGTGGGTTCGGGAGGACTTCTCTGCACAAGCTCAAAGAAGCAAGATGATGCACGACGTCTGAGCAAATTCGATGTAGCTAGCCTCTCCCCAAACCCTAGGCCCTAAACCCTCTGCGCCCTCCCCCAGCCGCCACCCCGCCCAAATATTCAGTGTGAGGCAGCTCGGTTGGTGGCCAAGTCTTCGGGAGGCACCGCGGCCATTCAGGCAGTGCGGGTTGGAACTTCGCAGCCCCTCATTGCTCACATCTGGGCCCCTCAACCCTCAACCCTCAACCCTCAACCCTCAACCCTCAACCCTCAACCCTCAACCCTCAACCCTCAACCCTCAACCCTAAACCCTCAACCCTAAATACCCTAAACCCTAAACCCTAAACCCTAAACCCCAACGCTGCGCAGCCCCGCTTGATTGGGCCTCATGCTCTTCTGCTCTCTGTCAGGCCGCCAGTGCGGGGCTGGCTGCGGCTGAGGCTGCGAAGGACTTCCGAAAACCTCCGAAGACCAGAAGAAAAGCCTGAAGCAGAGTTTTTGTTGGGACCGGGCCTAAGGCTTTCTGAGGCCCTAAACCCTAAACCCTAAACCCTAAACCCTAAACCCTAAACCCTAAACCCTAAACCCTAAACCCGAAACCCTAAACCCTAAACCCTAAACCCTAAACCTTTTAACCCTAAACCCTAAACCCTAAACCGCTTTTTGAGGGACGCAAGGTGTCTGAAGAATTGAGGGGGTGTCTTTCTGAAGCCTGGACTCGGAGGACTTAAAAGTCAGCGCGGTGCAGCAGGCGGCCATTGCCGGCACCCGGGCTGAACGAGTTAGGTGCGAGGGGAGCTTGGGTGGACCCTAGTATTTGGGGATGTTTCGGGTTCAGGAAATTCGCCACACCGGCATCCTCACCCCCCCCCCCCCCCCCAAAACCCTGCGTGCAAGACCCAAGCACTAACCTACGGACGAAGCTAACCCTAACCCTAACACCCGGATGGCCACCGGGAGTTGTAGGTACCCACTTCGACTTGCACCATAGCAACACCATACTACACCGGTCTAGTGTCTAGGGTTTGGGGTTTAGGGCTAGGGTTTAGGGTTTAGGGTTTAGGGTTTAGGGTTTAGGGTTTGGGGTTTGGGGTTTGGGGTTTAGGGTTTAGGGTTTAGGGTTTAACCGCCTAGAATTTGGTTTCGGTTCCATCTAGTCAGGCTTTAGGCAAAGCCAGATTCTTTCCAGGGGACTTCTGGAACAGTTCGTTAAGAAATCCCTAAGTCCGAAGCCCAAAGCCCCTAAAGCCCTAAACCCTAAAACCCCCTCAGCCCCTCAACCCTCAAACGCCTAAACCCGAAACTCCTAAAACCCCTAAAGCCCCGAACCCAAAGCTCCTAAACCCCTAAGACCCTTAAAAGCCCCTAAGCCTGAGCAGCCCAAACCCCTAAACCCCCTCAAACCCCCTGAACCCCCTAGACCCCCTAAAAACTCCCCGAACCCCTAAACCCCTAAGCCCCTAAAACCCCTAATCCCCCTAAACCCCTTAAATCCCCTAACTCCCTAAGCAGTAAAGCGACTCAACCTTTAAAACTCCTAAAGCCCCTGAATCCACAAACCCCTAAGCCCCCAAATCCCCAAACCCCTAAACCCCTAAGCCCCTCATCTCCAAACCCCAAACCCAAAGCCCCTAAACCCCAAACCCTAAACCCCAAACCCCAAACCCTAAACCCTAAACCCTGAACCCTAAACCCTAAACCCGGAACTTCAAGGATTTGAAGTCACAAGGTGGTGCGCTCAGCCTCCCATGAACCCTAAACCCTAAACCCTAAACCCTAAACCCCAAACCCTAAACCCCAAACCCCAAACCCTAAACCCTAAACCCCAAACCCTAAACCCCAAACCCTAAACCCTAAACCCTAAACCCTAAACCCTAAACCCTAAACCCCATGAACCGAGGCAAGGCCGCAGCTGAGGCGGCCAAAGCCGCCGGCGCTGCGGTCGAGGAGGTGATGGGTTTAGGGTTTAGGGTTTAGGGTTTAGGGTTTAGGGTTTAGGGTTTAGGGTTTAGGGTTTAGGGTTTAGGGTTTAGGGTTTAGGGTTTAGGTCTTAGGGTTTAGGGTTTAAGGTTTAGGGTTTTCAAGTGCATGGGCTAAAGTTTCGGGTTTCTGGGGTTTAGAAGGTTTGTAGGGCCTGTAGGGCATGTGGGTTTCTCGGGTTTGCGGTGGGGTCGAGCGCAACCCTGGATGCAAAGAACCCTCAACTGCAAACCCTAAACCCTGCACTCCAAGCCCTGAACCCCAAACCCTAAACCCTAAACCCTAAACCCTAAACCCTAAACCCTAAACCCTAAACCCTAAACCCTAAACCCTAAGCCCCCCAGGTGGCTGCATTTGCCGGCCGAGCCGCACAAAATGCTTCCGCAAGCGCCGGCGAAGGCCGCGATCGGCAGATTAAAGCTGCGGAGGACAGGGTTTAGGGTTTAGGGTTTATAGGGTTTAGGGTTTAGGGTTTAGGGTTTAGTTTAGGGCTTAGGGTTTAGGGCTTAGGGCCTAGGGTTTAGGGTTAGAGTTTAGGGCTTAGGGTTTAGGGTTGAGGGTTTAGGGTTGGTTTAGGGTGTAGGGTTTAGGGTTTGGGGGGTGGGGTTTGAGCTTCAGGGTTTAGAGTTCACGGTTTCAGGGTACTTTCTAGGGTTTGGGATGTAAGGGGTTTTGTGTTTAAGGTTCAGGGCGGGAGGCTTTACCTCAAGAGTCCAAAACTTGCTCTCGTTTTTTGTAGGCTGCCGAAGGAATCCTCATGTTCGCTTCTCTAAGCTTTGGTCCCTTTTTTGGGCTTACCCTTATAAGGCGGCCATTACTATCTAGGAACAAGGGAAGTTGATGGTTTTCGGGTTTTCGGGTTTCGGGTTTCGGGTTTCGGGTTTTGGAAACCCTAAACCCTAAACCCTAAACCCTAAACCCTAAACCCTAAACCCTAAACCCTAAACCCTAATCGGCCTCTGTCTGCCCCAGGACGCGGCAGTGGCAGGCTGCAAATCCGCGGGCGGCAAGGCCGCCGAGGTGAGCGCAGCTCGGGAGGCCGCGGTGGTGGCTGCAAAGGTCCCGAGCTTGATTGGTTTGTGGTTGAGGGTTGGGGTTTAGGGTTGAGGGTTTAGGGTTTAGGGTTGAGGGTTGAGGGTTTTGGGTTAGCCGGCTTTAGGGTTTAGGGTTTAGTTTAGGATATAGGGTTTCGGGGTTAGGGTTTACGGCCTTTGGCAAGCGCTCTAGGCCGTATAGTGCTGAAGGACAACATGCGCAGAAGGATTTTGGAGAGCAGTTTGATAAATAATCCCCCAAGCCCTAAGCCCCAAGCCCGAAGCCCTAAGCCCTAAGCCCTAAGCCCTAAGCCCTAAGCCCTAAACCCCTAAACCCTAAACCCTAAACCCTAAACCCAAAACCCAAAACCCAAAACCCAAAACCCAAAACCCAAAACCCAAAACCCAAAACCCAATCCCTGAATCCTCGATAAGCAACAGACCTTCGTCAAGCCACAGACCGAGGCGCAGATATCCGCTCGTGCCAAGAAGACGAAGAACGCAAATGCAGCGGTCCAAGAGCAAGAGGAGTTCTAACGTACCGGGTGCTGGGTTTAGGGTTTAGGGTTTAGGGTTTAGGGTCTAGGGTTTAGGGTGTCGGGCTTAGGGTTTAGGGATGGTTTAGGGTTTAGGGTTTAAAATTGCTGCCTTCCACGTGCCATATAGGGTTTCTTGTCGGCATGGGGCGCACCTTGTGCTGCGAAAAACGCCGAGGTCCATGGTTCATGAAGCTTGAAGCCTTCTGACAGGGTTCTGTTAAACGGTCACGTGCGCATCCAATGCAAAGCCAGTTTGATTGAACCAGTGGGAGTGTATATAGGGCTCCTTCTAATGCTTGGTACGTCTACTGTGGTTTCCTGCTTCGGATACTAGCTGATATAAAAATTACTTGATCTTAAAAAAACCAAAACCTAAATTTCTTTCAATTTTAGGATTAATAGAATACTCACCTTTATAGGGCAAATTCCATAGTAACACAAACCGACAAGCAAAACCCTAAACCCCGAACATCCCAAGGCCACCACCACTGCGGCCGCGAGACCGCACCAGCGCAGCATCCCCCAACACGAAGCCCAAAGCCCTGAAGCCCTGAGCCCGGAAACTATTCAGCTAAACCCCTAAATCCCTAAACCCTAAACCCTAAACCCTAAACCCTAAACCCTAAATCCTAAACCCTAAGCCCTAAACCCTAAATGCACCCAAGCAATGCTGAACTCCAAAAGTCCCCCTCCCTCTCCTTTCTAAAGAGGGTGCAACATTGCTGTTGATGGTACGGCGGGGCCCCAAGAATCAAGGCTCCGTCCGGCAAGAATGATACGACTACGACGCGTCGCAAAGCGGCCACAACTACGAAGGCAGGAAGATCTTTGCCTTGAGGATGCTGATGAACTTCCCCGGATTAGGGGTTTACGAAGATAGGAGACCCCCCCAATTTAGGCCCCTGAATAGTCAGACTCCCTTCTTATAAGGGCCCCAATAAGGTACCCCTTATCTTGGAAACCCCCCAAAAAAGTCAAAGGTAGAAGCTGGGTCGGAAGGGTTTCCCACTCTGCGAGTGCGTTTTGGCTGTTAGCTCGCGGTCTGTGTGGGGAAGCACCGTTCTCAACTCGCGCACCCTAAACCCTAAACCCTAAACCCTACACCCTAAACCCTAAACCCTAAACCTAAACCCTAAACCCTAAACCCTTTTGCAACCCGGGAAGGCCACGGATGAGGAGGATGAAGACGAGGAAGAAACGACGATGAAGGCTTCGACCACCAAGGCTCTTCTCGGGGCCAGACCAGCAGAGTTCCAGATTGAGTGGCGCTATTGTATATATATATATATATGTATATATATAGAAAGGGATAATATACATATATATATATATATAGATGTACATTTTTGTTTATGTACACATATATATATGTATATTTTTTAAATACGTATTTTCAGGTATACACCGATATGATATGTTCAAGGACAAAGAGGTGCCTTCAGCTACTTAACTGCTGGTCGTTGCAGTGCTTTGCAGCGGGTGATCCTCGATCCCATCCCGAGATCCAGTTCATACTGTCACCACCCGGACTGCCCGTCCCTGAACCCCTAAACCCTAAACCCTAAACCCTGAACCCTAAACCCTAAACCCTAAACCCTAAACCCCTTATGAGCCAAAACTCTAAACGCCCACTGAGGTTTAGGGGCCCACCCAACAGAGACTTGGAAGCCCTTTCAGAATCCTGCCTTCGCAGGCAGCTGAAGATGACGATGAGGAGGAGACCACCACCAAGAAGGCAACCCTAAACCCTAAACCCTAAACCCTAAACCCTACACCTAAACCCTAAACCCTAAACCCTAAACCCTAAACCCTAAACCCTAAACTCTAAAATCTAAACCCTAAACCCTAAACCCTAAACCCTAAACCCTAAACCCTACACCCTAAACCCTAAACCGTAAACCGTAAACTCTAAACCCTAAACCCTAAACCCTAAACCCTAAACCCTAAACCCTAAACCCTAAACCCTAAACCCTAAACCCTAAACCGGCTTGCTCCGTGATATCCGATAGCTCGCAGAGATGCAGCACGCGATGCTAGCACACCTGGAGTTGACGGATGCCTGGCTTAGGGTTTAGGGTTTAGGGTTTAGGGCTTAGGGTCTAGGGTTTAGGGCTTAGGGCTTAGGGTTTAGGGTTCGGGGTTTAGGGTTTAGGGATAGCTAACCGTGAATTCTGAGATGCAGTTGCAACTTCGGGGGTTCTGGGCCTTGGACACAAATCTTGGCACATGCCTGCCTAAATCGCATTGCTGCAAGTTTAGGGTTTAGGGATTAGGGTTTAGGGTTTAGGGCCTTAGGGTACTCTGGGCGTTCTTGAGGCAGGAACCACGACCGAGAAGAAAACTTCAACCACGACAGAGGCCACGTTGGCGTCGAGGTTTGGTTTTAGGCCTCACTTGAGGCTTTAGGTTTTAGAATTCAAGCCCGCCCCGATTGAAGGGCCTTCACGAAATTCATCTTAGATTGTTATTTTCTTCTTTATCATATTTGTTTCTCCCTCTCTCTCTCTCTCTGTATCTCTCACTCTCTTTCTCATTTTCTCTCATTCCCTCTCTCTCTCTCTCTCTTGCTCTCTCCCTCCCTCTCTCTCTCTTCCTAAAAGTGGTACCAGACTCGGGGCTCGTGGGTGGGGAAGCTGGGATGCTTTAGATGCTTTTGAAGATGAGGGCAACGAAGAAGACGAAGATGAGGATGAAGAGGAGGCCACAACCACGAAGCTCGGCAGCTTTCTGGGAAGGTACAGGGCCATGCTTGAAGGCTCATGAAGACTTAGCAGTAGGGTTATAAGTCCCGTTATTGCCATAGCCACCCTACTTCTAGCCCTACTTGTTAGTAGCCATGAACCCCCAAGTAGTGCCATGGAGCGCAAGCACAAGCAAGTCATGGTTCTTGTTTTTGACTCGAAAACGTCTTCCGTTGTGCAAACCCTAAACCCTAAACCCTAAACCCTAAACCCTAAACCATAAACCCTAAGCCCTAAGCCCTAAACCCTAAACCCTAAGCCCTACTCCCAGACCGCCGAGGAAGAAGGCGACGACCACGAAGGCAACAACCACCACTGAGGTGCGATGATACTGTTGCTTGCGCCCATTACCAACCAAACGTCCGAGCTGCCATCCGCCCCCTGCCCATGAGCCCTAAAACCCTAAACCCTAAACCCTAAACGCTAAACCCTAAACCACAAAACCCAAAACCCTAAACCCTAAACCCTAAACCCTAAACCCTAAACCCTGAACCCTGAACCCTGAACCCTGCACCCTAAACCCTGAACCCATACGCCCCCTAAGCCCCGAAACCCTAGACGAATGCCGCGGCAGGAGGAGTGAAGGGCGGAAGCTTCAAGGTGCCACCCTGGACTGCTGATTCGGGTTTAGGGTTTAGGGTTTAGGGTTTAGGGTTTAGGGTTTAGGGTTTAGGGTTTAGGGTTTAGGGTTTAGGGTTTAGGGTTTAGGGTGTAGGGTGTAGGGTGTAGGGTTTAGGGTTTAGGGTGTAGGGTTTAGGGTTTAGCGTTTAGCGTTTAGGGTTCAGGGTTGAGGGTTTAAGGTCTTGGGCTAAGGGGATGATCCTTGCACGTTTCGCACGTGCCCGTGATTCAGGGTCTACAGGGTGTTTCTGCGGCGGCTTTTGCAGGGCCCTGCAGGGTTGCCCTAAACCCTAAACCCTAAACCCTAAACCCTAAACCCTAAACCCTAAACCCTAAACCCTAAACCCTAAACCCTAAACCCTAAACCCTAAACCCTAATGCACCTGACCCTGAAGCTCACTGCCAGGTCCCTGCCGTTCCTGATGCGGTGACTTCTCACCAACCGCTGATCAGTTGCCAAAGTGGCCCCCTGCATCTGGCCGAAAAGACCTAAACCCTAAACCCTAAACCCTAAACCCTAAACCCTAAATCCTAAACCCTAAACCCTAAACAGAGAGTCTTCATACTTTCTCATTGACAGCTTGTGAGACTTTTCGGGCTACAGAGGCTGGGCGCCGGAGTCGGAGAGAAGCTGTTGAAGGCTCTATCTCATGGCCAGAGGCCCCACCTGCAAAGGGTCGAAGGCCGCGCAGTTCGAACGAAAGGCGCCTGCACACGGTCTCCTGCGCAAACAACCTGGGTTGCGACGTCAAAAACAGGAGCCTCGAGTTAGGGGTCTATTTTTTTTTGGTTGGGCTGTTTGGTTGCTACGCCGATTCATCGCGTTTCGGGGTACATGAGTGGTAGCCCACAAGACACCAGCGAACAGGCTGCTGGAAGGCAGTGGTCGATGTTCCATAAATGAATTAATTCTGCCACTTCAACCTTGCAACGCCCCTAAACCCTAAGCCCAAAACCCTAAGCCCTAGACCCTAGACCCTAGACCCCAAGCCCTAAGCCCTAAGCCCTAAGCCCTAAACCCTAAACCCTAAACCCTAAACCCTAAACCCTAAACCTCAAACCCTAAACCCTAAACCCCAAACCCCAAACCCGAAGCAGTTCCGCCACTACATGCCGTTGACATTTCATGCCAGAGCCGGGGCAAGAATACCGCTGAGCTTGAGTTTACAAAGGGGAACCCTCAACCCCAAACCCCTAAGCCCCTAACCCTTAAACCCTAGAAACCCTATAAACCCTATAAACCCTATAAACCCTAAACCCGAAACCCTAAACCCCAGACAAAGTGTGGCACTTTTGGATGCCTGGGGCCTAATCTCGGGATGCTCCAATGCTCGGCAGATGTATCCGAGTGCGGCGTGCCTCGGATTTGAAGGTTTGTATAGGGTTTCGGGCTCAGGGCGTTTAGGGTTTAGGGTTTGGGGTTTAGGGTTTAGGGTGTGCCAAGCCTGACGCGCGGCTGCTTGTTGCCCGTCCGACCCTCCCGGTGTTCGTTGTGTAGTCAATTTTTCTTTGCGGGGACGGCAAATCCTGGGGTCCCCCTCTTTTCGGGGCTTATTGAAGCCTTTTGAAGCCTTTTGAAGCCTTTTGAAGCCTTTTGAAGCCTTTTGAAGCCTTTTGGTGGCTCTTGGGGCCTCTTGGGGGCTTCCTGGGGCTTTCCTGGCCCTTCTGGGGCAAAACGCAGGGGTGACCAAAAGCATCGATTTCAGTACAGGCAAATCCTGGAGTCCCCCTCTTTTAGGCCTGTTGAAGCCTTTTGAAGCTTTTTGGTGGTGTCTTGGGGAGCTTCCTGGGGCTTTTTCGTGCAAGGGCCCAGGGCCAAGCTACCCCGAACCCCAGCTTAAACCCTAACACTGCAAAACCTGCGAAGGCCTTCAAGCAAATCAAGGCCTCTACGGGCCCTAACTTGCCGAAGGCCCGAAAAGGGCCGAGGCTACCCCGAACCCCAGCTTAACCCCCAGCGATTGAAATACTCATTGGCGAAAAACACTAATAGGTTCCCTGACCTTCAAATGAATAAAGCCTCTACGGCCCCTGACACGCCGAAGGTCCGAACAAGGCCCCGAGAGACCCCAAGAGCCACCAAAAGGCTTCAAAAGGCCCCCTAAAAGAATGGGGACCCCAGGATGCCCGTACCCGCAATGAAAAATGCGATTTTTTGGTAGTTAAATCGATGGTCTTTTCCTTCATTTTACCCCGAAAAGGCCAGGAAAGCCCCCAGGAAGCCCCCAAAAGGCCCCAAGAGCCACCAACTTAATTGAGGCCTTTGGCTCAAGCCAAGTATCGCATTTCCCTTCGCCATGGCACCGTCGCCGGGGTGGGGGGTTCTGCTGCCGCTCCTGGTTGGCTTGTGCGAGGTGGCTCCAGCCGTGCAAGGACCCCCTTTGCAACATCGAGGCATCTCTGTGGCGGTGGAGCGTTGGGCAGCCTTAGCCCTCAACCACCGGGCTAGGCGAGGACTGACGGCCTCCTTGAGATCTCAGTGGCTGCGAAACCCAACCTTTTGGCGCCCCCTCACCGCTCAACAGACTTGGCATGGGCGGTCGCAGCGGTGGAACGGATGGCCCAAGCGCGGAATCCGGGTGGGTGAGGCCAGCAAACCTGGGCCAGAAGACCGCGAACGCTCACCGCCTCCCAATAGGCACAGTGGTCGGACCTTCTGCCCTGTGGCCACTTGCCCGTGCTCCGCTCCAACCTCGCGCGGGTGGGCTTCCATTCAGGCCATGCGGCCGCACATGGATGACCATGCGGCAGGGACCCTTCAGGGAGCACCTCCTCCAGCTTACCTCACAGCCGCCGGTTTGGAGTTGTGTGGGGTTTGTGGCCTCACGGTTGCCAGCCGCTATAACGGAGCTCACCCTCGGTGCAGACCTACAGCCCGCTTCGCTGCCGGCGCAGGGCATTCTCCTCATGCCGGCCTTCTGCAAGCCAGCGCGGATCCAGACCTCGCCCAAGTCTGCTCGGCAAGCATCCCGGTCCTCAGGCATGTCCCCAAGGTAGCCAGAACGGCCTTCGCTCAGTGCTTAGCCCGCGCCCTGGCTGATGTGGTGTCGTTGGGGACCATTGCGGCTTGGACCCAGCTTATGATGCTGCCCAAAGCAGTGCTGCGACCAGCGCCACGTGGTGGCCAACGACACTGCAAGCAAACTGGCCAGTTCACTCTCCGTCGCTGTGAGCGGTGGCTGGCAGGCGAGCGGGGTGAGCTCTGGGAAGCCCCTACTGGGCCTCGCAGGCGGCGTGCTGGAAGTGGTGACGAGGATGCGGATCGGTTGGCCCGGCAGTCTCGTTGCTTGCGCCTTGCGGGTGAAGGTGAAATGTCTCGGGCTTGCGCTGCTCTGGTGAGCCCGCCACTACTGGATGACACTGCTGAGATCGCGACCAAACTCCGTGCCAAGCACCCCCAGGCACCTCCTGCCATGCCGGCCATGCTCCCGCTTGGCCCGCCAAGCCAAACGTCTGTCCCGGACCTCTCTGTGCAGGACGTGCTAGCAGCTGTCAAAAGTTTTCCACGTGGAAGTGCGGGCGGACCCACAGGCCTTCGCGGAGATCACCTTCGCGAGGCACTTAACACTGCACATGGGGATGAGGTCGCAGCTCACCTCACCCAGGTCGTGCAAATCCTACTTCGAGGACAGGCCCCGCCTGAACTCGCCGCGCACTTCGCGGGAGGCACCCTTTACGCCCAGCCTAAAGGAGCAGATGACGTTCGACCTATAGCGGTCGGGGAAGCCCTCCGCCGTCTGGCCTCTAAGTGTCTTTGCGCAGCTTTGCGGGAGGAGGCCCAGCGCTACCTCGCTCCTATTCAAGTGGGCGTGGGTGTCTCCCTAGGAGCCGAGGCGGCGGTCCACACTGCTCGCCATTGGGCGCACCGACACGCAGGACATGCCAACAAGTGCTTCTTGACGGTAGACTTCACCAACGCCTTTAACAGCGTGGACCGCGCTTCCCTCCTCCGAGAAGTGCGGCTGCGCATGCCCGGCTTGGCCCCCTACGTGGAATGGTGTTATGGCAACCATACCCGGCTGCTATTTGCAGGCTCACCAATGACGTCGGAGGCCGGAGTACAACAGGGCGACCCACTGGGACCACTGCTTTTCGCGCTGGCCCTGCAGCCGGCCTTGCGAGCCGCCCAAGGCAGTCAGCTGGACCAGCGACCTGACCTCGTCTTCGCGTACCTCGATGACGTTTGCCTGGCAGGGACCCTCCAACAAGTCAGTGCGGCCCTAGGGCGGCTTACGGCTGCCGCTCGACAAGTTGGCTTGGCGCTTAACCCCGCCAAGTGCGAACTCACCACCTGCAGCGGTGATGGCTTGGTAGACATGCGGTCCTTCCCCCCCGGTGTGAAGCTGAACCGCACGGGAGCTTTCTCGCTCCTCGGAGCTCCTGTCGGCAACACCGCGTTTTGTGAGGCTCATGCTCAAACAAAACGTGTGGAGGCCAGCGCGCCGCTGCTCCAGGCCCTTGCGGAACTTGGTGACCCGCAGACGGGTTTGCTGCTCCTTCGCCAGTGCGCCTCCTTCTGCAAGGTTGCCTACGCCACGCGGGTCACCCCGCCTCTCTTGCACTGCCAAGCCATGGACGCTTTTGATGGGCAGGTTCGGGCTTGCTTGGAGAGGCTCTGTACCGGGCCTTTGTCTGCTGAAGCCTGGGAGCAGTCTTCGCTGTCAACCAGCTGTGGAGGTCTGGGGCTTCGCCACGCCGGACGTCATGGTCCCGCTGCCTACATCGCCTCCATTGTCTCCACGACCGCCCTCTGCTCTGCCATGGACACCCAATATGCTCCGGAGCTGCAAACCACGATCGCGGCTTTCAACCAGGAAGTCTCGGCTGCCGACCGTGTGCCTTTTCCAGTGCCGACCCACCTCCGACAGCAGCAGCTGTCCAAGGCGCTTGACAAGGCAACGTTCGCTCAGCTGAGCCTTCCGGCTGCCGGCCGCGAAGCTTTCAGGGCTCACCTTCAGCTCCTGCAGCAGCCCGGTGCGGGCGCCTGGCTCCACGCCCCGCCTTGCGAAGCGCTTGGCTTGCACGTGGCGGCGCCTCTATTCCGCGTCATGGTGCAGCTTCGCCTTCGCTTGCCGGTGGCGGCCACTGACATGGACTGCCCACTGTGCGATGGCGTGGCGGACAGCCACGGCGACCATGCCCGGCTGTGTCCGTGCGGAGGAGACCGCGTCAAGCGCCACAATCGCTTGCGATCAGTGCTTGCGGCAAGGGCACAGAGTGCCGGGCTTAGCCCAGAGGTGGAGAAGCCTAACCTGCTTCCCCAGCGCCCGGATGATGATGGGGTAGCCGGAGTGGTGGGGCAAGGGGGACGTAGGCCAGCTGACGTCTGGGTGCCCAGCTGGGGGGTACACGGCCCGGCGGCATTTGACTTTGCGGTCACATCGGGCTTGCGACAAGGCTTTGTGTCCGCTTCGGCTGCTTCAGGCTCGCGGGCCACAGAGGAGTATGAGACCCGAAAACGGGTTTACCAGCGAACCCAGGAAGCTTGCGCCGCAGTCGGCCTGCAGTTTGTGCCGCTTATTGCCGAGGCCTGCGGGGGGGGATGGGGCCCGGCTGCCATGCAGACGTGGGAGACATTGGCGGAAGCCTTGGCCACCCGCACGGGCGAAACTGCAGCGGCCGAGAAGGTCAAACTGTTGCAGGCCTTGAGCATCACTCTGCAGCGCGAGAACGCGCGTGCGGTGGTGCGCAGGGCAGGTTGGGACCCGGCTGCCGCCACTGCAGCACTCGACCAGCCGTGACGTGTCGCTGTTCGCTCTCGGGTCGCGCCTGGATGTTCTGACATCTGCCCAGGGGGGAATCGACATTGGGACAGGTTTGCAGGTCCAGCTGCGCTCTCTGCCCCACTCATGTGCAGAATACTTTTCTGACTTTCCTGTTGCAATTTTGCTCGCGCACCGCCCTCAGAAGTAGGAGTGCTCGTGAGCCTCTCCTGTTTGCATTTTGCTCACGCAACGCCCTCAGAAGTAGGAGTGCTTGTGAGCCTCCCCTGTTTCGCTCGCGCACCGCCCTCAGAAGTAGGAGTGGTTCAGAGCTGCAGTCGGAACCCGAAGGGCCCTTAAAGAAGGGGAATCCAGGAGCAGGCACAAAGGGTTTCCCTGACCTTCAAATAAATAAGAGCCTCTACGGGCCCTGACACGCCGAAGGCCCGAAAAGGGCCGAGGCTACCCCCAACCCCAGCTTAAACCCTAACAGCGCAACTTTCAAAACATCAAAGCAAGCACCAGAGCACAAGAAAGTAAATTCCATAAGCCCTAATAGAGTATAGTTTGGGTGGCCCTCCCCGAGGCTACCCCCAACCCCAGCTTAAACCCTAACAGCGCAACTTTAAAAACATCAAAGCAAGCATCAGAGCACAAGAAAGTAAATTCCATAAACCCTAAACCCTAATAGAGTATAGGTTGGGTGGCCGGGGTGGGTTGACGGGCAACGCGAGCGCGCGGCCCGGGGTGTTTCACACCCGAGCGCGCGCCCTCCCCTGACACACCCTAAACCCTAAACCCTGAACCCTGAACCCTAAACCCTAAACCCTAAACCCTAAACCCTAAACCCTAAACCCTAAACCCTAAACCCTAAACCCTAAACCCTAAACCCTAAACCCTAAACCCTAAACCCTAAACCCTAAACCCTAAACCCTAAACCCTAAACCTAACCCTAAACCCTAAACCCTAAACCCTAAACCCTAAACCCTAAACCCTAAACCCTAAACCCTAAACCCTAAACCCTAAACCCTAAACCCTAAACCCTAAACCCTAAACCCTAAACCCTAAACCCTAAACCCTAACCCTCAACCCTCAACCCTCAACCCTCAACCCTCAACCCTCAACCCTCAACCCTCAACCCTCAACCCTCAACCCTCAACCCTCAACCCTCAACCCTAAACCCTAAACCCTAAACCCTAAACCCTAAACCCTAAACCCTAAGCCCTAAACCCTAAACCTAAACCCTAAAGTCCGGAAGCTCAGGTGTTTGTAGCCGAGAAACCCAGCGAGCTGTCCATGATGCTGGCCGATATCCGGCAGAACATGGACTTGATCCAGCTTCAGAAGGAGGGCCTTAAGCCCTAAACCCTAAACCCTAAACCCTAAACCCTAAACCCTAAACCCTAAACCCTAAACCCTAAACCCTAACCCTAAACCCTAAACCCTGAACCTCTAAACCCTCAACCCTAGAAGCCTTAAAAAGCCTAGAAACCGTAGAAACCCCCATAAAACCTAGTTTAAAACCTGTAGCCCTGTAAACTCTTGAAACCAATACAAGGCCTATGAACCCTAATCATAAACCCTACAAACCCTAAAAACTCTATAAACCCTATAAACCCTATAGACCCTATAAACCCTATCTACCCTACAAATCCCATAAACCCTCAACCCTAAATCGCCAAGCCAGGGACTGGAGAGGAAGCTTTCCAGAAAGTCCGCCTGAGAAGCGCGCCCGAGAACATTTTTCAGTTCTAAGAGAGTCCGAAACATCCCAACCCACCAAGGCGCATGATCTGACATCGCTCTGGGGTGTTCGACTTTAGAGCTACGCGCATTTCAGCTGGCAGGAGCTGCTCACAAAGCACGAGCAGCTCTGTGAGAGCATGCAGGCTCCCAGTAGGGCTCCTTTGGTTCGGGCTGTTTGGGATTCAGGGATGGGGGGTTTCCTAATAAGGGGCCCCTATCTTGATCCCCAAATTGTAGGATTCCCTTATATGAAGGACCTCAAAGAAGGTATCCCTGCTTGCGGAAACCCCCAGGTGTTTGAAGAGGGTTTAGAGGGCCTGTGGGCGCGTAGGGTTTGTAGGGTTGAGGGCCAAGCTTAGGGTTCAGGGTTTAGGGTTAGGGTGTGGGGTGCTCCTGAATTTTGGGGGCTCCTTTGTTGGAACACGGGAGTCTAAAGTAGACCCCCTCTTTTGGCATTTGTCTTTGGGGAGTACCCACCTTTTCCCCCCAAACAATAAAGCCCAGAGCCCCAAACCCCCCCAAACCCGAAAACCCCCAAACCTCCAACCCCCAACCCCCAACCCCGAACCCCCAACCCCCAACCCCCAAACCCCAAACCCCAAACCCCAAACCCCAAACCCCAAACCCCAAAGCCCAAACCCCAAACCCCAAACCCCAAACCCCAAACCCCAAACCCCAAACCCCAAACCCCAAACCCCAAACCCCAAACCCCAAACCCCAAACCCCAAACCCTAAACCCTAAACTCCCTAAACCCTTATCCCTAAACCCTAAACCCTGAACCCTAAACCCTTATCCCTAAACCCTAAACCCTAAACCCTAAACCCTAAACCCTAAATCCCTGCGAAGGCGAAGTCGCTCGCCCTGTTTGCCAAAGACAAAGATCCGACGACCGAAGCCGTGAGCTTAGGTTGGCCTCATTCTTGGGAAGCATGTGAAAGGATGCTCAGGATCGGCTTAGGGTTTAGGGTTTAGGGTTTAGGGTTTAGGGTTTGGGGTTTGGGGTTTAGGGTTTAGGGTTTAGGGTTTAGGGTTTAGGGTTTAGGGCTAGGGTTTTAGGGTTCAGGGTTGCAAGTTGAGGGTTTCTGGGGCATCACCCGACATGGGCTCGGCTCCACGACTGTGATTTGGTGCTGCAGAGGGTTGAAGCGAACGAGTCTTCTTAAAAGACGTGGCGTCCCAAACCCCAAACCCCAAACCCCAAACCCCAAACCCCAAACCCCAAACCCCAAACCCCAAACCCCAAGCCCCAAGCCCCAAGCCCCAAGCCCCAAGCCCCAAAGCCCAAGCCCCAAAGCCCAAAGCCCAAGCCCCAAGCCCCAAGCCCCAAGCCCCAAACCCCAAACCCCAAAGCCCAAAGCCCAAGCCCCAAGCACTAAGCCCTAAGCCCTACACCCATGACGGGGGGACGGGGTTCCTTCGCATGACTGGCGGGCTTCTTGCTCTTGTGTGAGCCATGAAGAATACTCCACCCCCCCCCCCCTTCAATGGGTTTAGGGTTTGGGTTTGGGTTTAGGGTTTAGGGTTTAGGGTTTAGGGTTTAGGGTTTAGGGTTTAGGGTTTAGGGTTTAGGGTTTAGGGTTTAGGGTTTAGGGTTTAGGGTTTCGGCATTAGGGCTCCTTGAGCCCGAAATCTTGGGATGTTCACCCTTATATGAACAGTCCTTCGCGGGCATTATAGGGGCGTACTAGAATGCCTATTAAGGACTGTTAGTGTAAGGGGGAACATCCTAGCCGAAATACCCTCCAGCCCCCCCAAAAAGGGGCCCCAACAACCTAACAATCCTGAAAACCCCAAGCCCGAAGCCCGAAACCCTAAGCCCTCAAGCCCTAAGAACGCTTTCCCAAAAGCCCTGCTCACCGCAAACCCCCCCCCCACAGCAAGAAGGGAGCAAGATGACATAAACCCTAACCCTAAACCCTAAACCCTAACCCTGAACCCTAAACCCTAAACCCTGAACCCTGAACCCTGAACCCTGAACCCTGAACCCTAAACACTAAACCCTAAACCCTGATCCTAAGGTGCGCGTCGAGGGACGGCCCACCGAAATGGTTGCCTACAGTGTCAAGCCCGAGGCTGACCCATCAGAGGCAGGCTGAAGGTTTAGGGTTTAGGGTTTAGGGTTTAGGGTTTAGGGTTTAGGGTTTAGGGTTTAGGGTTTAGGGTTTAGGGTTTAGGGTTTAGGGTTTAGGGTTTAGGGTTTAGGGTTTAGGGTTTAGGGTTTATTTAGGGTTTAGGGTTTAGGGTTTAGGGTTGTAAAGCCGGAGGCTGACTCATCAGAGGCAGGTTGAGGGTTTAGGGGTTTTAGGGCTTTTGGGGTTTCAGGGGTTTCGGGTTTTTCGGGCTTTTAGGGTTCAGGGGTTCAGGGATTTCGGGGTTTTCGGGGTTTTAGGGGTTTTAGGGGTTTCAGGGGTTCAGGGGTTTCAGGGGTTTCAGGGGTTTTGGGGGCTTCAGGGGTTTTAGGGGTTTTAGGGGTTTCAGTGGTTTTGGGGGTTTTAGGGGTTTTAGGGGTCTTAGGGGTTTTGGGGGCTTTAGGGGCTTTAGGGGTTTGAGGGGTTTGAGGGGTTTTAGTCTTGTAGGGGCTTTACGGGCTTTAGGTGTTTTGGGGGTTTTTGGGGTTTGGGGGGTTTTGCGGGTATTCGGGGGTGTTTTACGGGTCACTGGCGAGCAGAAAAACTGGACACGAACTGCTGCGCACATGGTTTTCGAGTGGGTTTTTGGCAGTAAAGCACGGGAAAGCGTAAGCTGGCTGCCAACCAGGGAAATTGGAAAATGGGCAGCCCCAGGGCCTTAAATAAGATCCTTTGCCAGTGGCAGGTGCCTCCCTAAAACCCTAACCCTAAACCCTAAACCCTAAACCCTAAACCCTAAACCCTAAACCCTAAGGCAAAGATGTATTGAAAGGGTTTGGAATGCTTGGGTGTAAGTTAGTGTTTGGGGAGTTGTGTTGACTCCTTGCAGCTTGTTGTAAGAAGAGGCTCGCAGAGGCAAAGACACTTTAAGTAGCAGTGTTCTTCTTACATTATTGTTGTCGTTATTTGCTATAATAATAATAATTATAATTACAATAATCATAATAATAATTTTCTCTCTCTCTCTCTCTCTCTCTCTCTCTCTCTTGTCTTTATACACCTCAACTTGCTGCGCATCCGTGCGCAGGTTGTCGAGCCTACAGAGACCGTGCGGCCTTCGTACCGCCGGATTTCGACGTTCGACAGCCTCGAGGAAAGGCTGAAAACAGAGGACCGGAAAAGGGTTTAGGGTTTAGGGTTTAGGGTTTAGGGTTTAGGGTTTAGGGTTTAGGGTTTAGGGTTTAGGGTTTAGGGTTTAGGGTTTAGGGTTTAGGGTTTAGGGTTCAGGGTTTAGGGTACAGGGTTCAGAATTTAGGGTCGGCTCTTCGCCTGGTTCTATTCGCACGACATACCGATTTGGGACCCTGAGCCCTCAAGGCCCCAAAAAGGCTGGGGTCAGGGCCAGGTTCAGTGCTTGGGGCTTGGGGTTTCGCAGTCTTGGGGGTTAGGCTTGAGCACTCAAAGTGTCATTACGAAGTACCAGCTAAAGGTTTAGGGTTTAGGGTTTAGGGTTTAGGGTTTAGGGTTTAGGATCTTGGCGCACAGAGCCTCAAGGCCTGGGCTTAAAGCCTGGAGGGTTTAGGGGTTCAAATAGTCTATGCGGAAGTTCAAGAACGAATTGTTCTATGATCGCAACCTTCGTTGAGTAGAGCTCTGTTGTATGAAGATACTACGAAGATACTTGATATTTTCTTAATGTTGTGGGATTCTCTGGGTGGGTTTCGTGTTTTTTCAGAGCCGTAAATATATCACTACCATAGAACTGCTCGATCCGGACCTGCTGAACCCTAAGCCGTAACCGCTAAGCCCTAAACCCTAAACCCTAAACCCTAAACCCTAAACCCTAAACCCTAAACCCTAAACCCTAAACCCTAAACCCTAAACCCTAAACCCTAAACCCTAAACCCAGGAGGCGGAGCACCGGACGTTTGACCTCGCTGGGCTTCAGTCGATGTCGATGCCGACGCTGAGGTTGGACGGGGGGGGTGGGGGTTGAGGGGTTTAGGGGTTTAGGGGTTTAGGGTTTTGGGGTTTAGGGTTTAGGGCTTAGGGCTTAGGGTTTTGGGTTTTGGGGTTAGTGGTTTAGGGGTTTAGGGGGTGTAGGAGGTTTAGGGAGGACCAAACCCCCTTGAGATAGCAGGGAAAGGCGAGCCCTCCGAAGCAGCAGTTACGAGCACCGTAACACCAAACCAGCTCCACCGCGTCTCCTTTCTAAAAATTCCCCCCCTAAAGCCTAAACCTTAAACCCTAAACCCTAAACCCTAAACCCTAAACCCTAAACCCTAATTTCCGACTCTGAACCCCTAAGCCCTGGATTCTGGACTACCTTCGGCCAGTGCTTCTGCATCGAGGCGCCACCAGAGTTTGCTGCGCCAAGCTCAACAGTCGCCTGCGATCCATGGACTGGGTTGCTGTTGGGTTTTGGGTTTAGGGTTTAGGGTTTAGGGTTTAGGGTTTAGGGTTTAGCGTTTAGCGTTTAGGGTTTAGGGTTTAGGGTTTAAGGTTTAGGGTTTGCGGTTTAGGGTTTCGGGTGAAGCAAGTCACCATGGTCAGGATCTATTCTACATGTTTGACATATCTCGCAAGTAGTGTTATGGCTTCAGACGCCCTAACGTCCTGCGCCTCAAGCCTTTCGCCCAAAGCTTGGGCGCCCCTCAACCGGAACCCTCATCACCTTTATGATATCCTTATCCCCATACCCCAAAAGGTATACCAAAAGGTATACTAAAGGGAATCCCAGCTCTAGTCATCCTGAAACCATGTTCCAACTTTCTGGTGTTTACTGTCTGGGGATTGGTGGCCTTCAGGGTCTAGGGCTGGGGGTTGTGTAACGATTTGAGCAGCTCAGTAGCTTCTTCTTTGTTCTAAGAGGTCTTGAGGGTGCCTTGTTGGAGCTCATGCCGGCTTGCGCAAGTGAGCAACCATGCGCCTCAGCCTCAAAAGCAGTTGTTTGCCCACAGGATGATCTTCAGCAGCCCTCGAGGATGACCCATGCGTGGATAAATACCCTTCTCCTCCTCATTAACGAGGTGCCCCAAGGTTAGGGTTTAGGGTTTAGGGTTTAGGGTTTAGGGTTTAGGGTGTAGGGTGTAGGGTTTAGGGTTTAGGGTTTAGGGTTAGGGTTTACGGTTTAGGGTTTAGGGTATAGGAGTCAGGGTTTAGGGTTTAGGGTTTAGGGTTTAGGGTTTAGAGAGGAGTAGGGTACAACCCGAGGTAGGGGTTTACGATAATCAAGGAACCCCGAATATAGGCCCCCAAATAGTGGGATGCCCTTATCAGAAGGACGCTAAACCCTAAACCCTAGACCCTAAACCCTAGACCCTAAACCCTAAACCCTAAACCCCAAACCCCAAACCCCTAGGTATGGAGGCCTCACCCGTCATGCTCTTGCCTGCGCCGCACGAGTCTCGAAGTGCCTTGAGTCGGTGGCCCGTACCGCAGCTCTGGGCATTCTTGACCTTTAGGGTGCCTAGTGCAGGGTTCAGGGTTTAGGGTTTAGGGTTTAGGGTCTAGGGTCTAGGGTCTAGGGTTTAGGGTTTAGGGTTTAGGGTTTAGGGTTCAGGGCTCAGGGTTTCGGGCTTACTAGCGTTTCAGAACAGTGACGGAGGGATTCGGCGACAGGAGATGGTATTAGGATGCTCGCTTTGGGTTGCCTCATGGCCAGGGCTGACTGCTTAGGGCCTTGGAGCTTGGAGTTTTACGGTGTTGGGGGTTTAGGGAGCCCCTTCCGTGACACACACACCTGAAGAAGCCCCACTACTAATCGCAAAACCCAGGTGTCCGAGCCAACGCGCACGGGCTTTCTGGCGAA